TTGTCTAACTTGTAAATATCAGCAATTAATGTAAATTTATATCACTCCATTACTTATACAGAAGATAGCATCTAAACACTATTGTGAGGGGCGCCTGGGTGGCGCAGTCGGTTAAGCGTCCGACTTCAGCCAGGTCACGATCTCCCGGTCCGTGAGTTCGAGCCCCGCGTCGGGCTCTGGGCTGATGGCTCAGAGCCTGGAGCCTGTTTCTGATTCTGTGTCTCCCTCTCTCTCTGCCCCTCCCCCGTTCATGCTCTGTCTCTCTCTGTCCCAAAAAAGTAAATAAACGTTAAAAAAAATTAAAAAAAAAATAAACACGATTGTGCATTTTATTTCACTAGCAATATATATTGACATCACTCCAGGTTAGTATGTTTATTGGTATATGTAAGAAGTCTTTCATATATCTTTTTATAGCTGCCTAGCACTTTATCCTGTGCATGTAGTGTAATTTATTCAGCCAGTTCTTTATTGACATGTGAGCAGTTTCCAGTGTTTTGCTATAAAAAAAATGCCATAATGAATAATAGCCTTGTGCATACAGCTTTTTGTATTTTTGCCAATGTATCACTAGGACTGATTCTAAGAAGTTTAGGATTTGGCTTAGGATTGCTGGGTGAAATAGTAAATATATACATAGAGTGGCTTTGTGTTGCCAGATTTTCTTAATGAGTTACATTGTTTTGTCTCCTCACAAGCAACGTAGTACTATCCTCAGGTGTGTTTTGGTCCCATATCAGATAGAGGAGGCTTCAGAGACGAATCATAGATAGATAAGATTCCTGTCCCCAGGAACTCTCAGTCTAGTGAAAGTCCTATGGGCAAACAAATAATGTTGTAACTTAATAAGCCAGGCAGATCTACCCTGAAGCTAATGAAGCTTAAGCTTGAGTCCCCTATAGAGACACTTTCCAAGGTCTCAGCAATGTGTTCATGGAGCCATTCTGTAATGTTTTTCCTGAAGAGATACCCCAAATTATTTAAGCTTCAGCCTCCGTAACACGTTGATTTCACCTCACTGCCTATCTTTGGGGGTTCTGGGGATGGATTTCAAGTCTCAGTTCTGCAGTCAGCGTCAGATGAGGGATTCCTGTATTTACTGACACAACAAAAGGAAAAAGGCTCTTCTGACCAGAAGAGATACCCCTCTCCTGATTCTGATCAGTTACCCACACAGGTAATAAGGCCTTCCATAGTTTCCCTCTACTTTCAAGGGCAGAAACAGCCTTGGCTAGCGTCAGTATTCCCAGCAGACAGCTAAAGAATGGTAGATGGTACTTACAACAAAAGTCTGAACCGATTATAGAGCCGGGTATTGTTGGGTTTGGGGCAGGAGGTTGGTGAGGGGAGGCAGCGGGGAGGCAGTTACACCAGGAGAGTGGGTATTCAAAGCACACACACCCCACAAAAACACACCATTTGGTCAAATAAGGCAGAGGTCTGTTTCCTCACCTGTAAAAACAGGATTAGTAAGCCTGCCCTTGTGAGGTTTGGTCAGGATTAGTAAAGCTAATTTAAAGACTAACTCCCCAGACTCTCGGGAGAAGGTCCATAAATAGAGGACAGAAAATAAAATGGGTAAGTGGTTGATCCTTGAGATTGGTGACAGGGATGCTTTGCACATCGTGCCAATGCACCGCTGGGAGGAGGAACAGCCACTTTATCGACAAACAGTAGATGCAGAATAAGTAGCAGGAACGGACGTTTCTGGCAGATGCTTACTGATCTGTGTAACTAACTGAATATGTGGATTGGTCCGGTATACAGGTACGCTGTGGCAGTCCCGGGCGCTGTCAGGCGACTGAGGGCCGGATCTGGCAGACCGCTGTCAGTCTGGCCGCGAGTACAGTCCGTCTTCGCGGTCCATCCGGCCCCAACTGCCTCGAACCGCGTCTTAACTCGCAGGTTGGATCAGACTCCGGAGGGCAGCCGCCGGAGCGCGAGGCGCCAAGGCCCGGCACCGCCTCCCGCTTCCTCGGCGCCGGGCAGGGCATGCCCCGACTCCCGGCAGCCGGGGCAGGAAACAATAATGTGGTACCAGGTTCTTTAAGGGAGATACCACCGCGCCGGCGGGGCAGGGGACGGCGTCCTCCCAGATGATCGCACCCAGTCCCGCCGCCGCCGCCTGGAACCGCAAATCCGCAAACAGCAAACAGTGACTCTGACCAGCCTCCCTCCCGGCGGGGCGGACGCCAGGCCTCCCAGCTCGGGCCGCGCCTCCCCGCGGGCCCGCCGAAAATCCCGCGTCCTGGGCAGGCTGAGCGAAGAAGATGCACCAGGCGTTCCGCCCCAGCGACCCGCCTGCTCGGTAGGTGGGAAGGGGGGCAGGGAAGGAGCGGGGAGGCCGCGCCGGGCGCGCGCCCCAGGCCCGGACCTGCTGCCGCAGACCATCCCAGGGGCCGCGGGCCGTGCGCGCCCGCTGCTGCTTTACGGATACCGAGTCCCGGCGTGCAGCGGCCTCCGCGTTCCCGGACCCGGCCACCCCTGCGGGGAGGGGCACTAGTGGTGCGTTCCGGGGCGCGCACACCTTCGGCGACTCCCGGCTCCTGAAAGCCTCGGGAGAGGGAGGAGGACCGCGGAGCGCGGGGCGCGCGCCCAATAAGGATGGCGCTCGGCGTCCCGGCTCGCGCTACGGAAAGCCGGAGGGGGGCGGGGCCGCACGGCGTAAGGGGGTGTGTCCGCGCGCACCACGGGGGCGCGCGCCGGTCTCTGACTGGAGGCCGCCGCGGCTGAGGCGCGAGCTGCCCGATAATGGCGGCCTGCAGAGCCCGTGAGAGGGAGAAGCGGCGGCGGCTACCCTGAGGTAAATCTGGCCCTTAAGGCCTGGCAGAGAGGCCCTGCTGCAGAGCCGAGAGCCCTGCATGCGCCTCCCTCCCCGGGAGGCCTGTCACAGACCTGTCAGCGGAGTCCTCCTAGGGAAGGCCTCCGGCTCGCACTCCTCAGGCCACCGGCCCCGGCTGCGGCCTCCCTTTCTGCCCCTGGCCTCCTGCCCAGGCTCTGGGCCTCAGCCGCCAGCCCCAGGAGTCAGGGCAGCTGCAGGACTGGCTCCTCGGGGTGAAGGGCCTCGGGAGGATCCCCTCCGGGTTTGGTCAGGACGCCGCCGAGGAGGGGGAGGGCCTGATCCTCGGCCAATGAGCGGGGCGCTGAGCCGCCGCGTCGGGCAACACCTCTGCCCAGGGCTGGCCCTTCCCGGGCCCGGCAGGTGTGGGGCCGGGCCGCCCGGCGGCCCGGCGCTGGGCTAGCAGGGCCGGCCGGCCGCTCAGGTTCGCATCCAGGGATTTCATACACGCCCTCCCTCCCGCTTATTGGGGTGCCCTTTCGTGTGGGGGTACGGGCCAGCCTGCAGGCCACGAGCCACTTTGACACGGATAGTAATGGGCGATCCACGGAGAGCGGGAAAGAAAGGCTGCTGTGGACCTGGGGCACGGATTCCGTGGCAGGAAATCAGACACTAAGAAATGCAATAGGAATTTGAACGGGGAGGGGGGGGGGGGTTCCAGTTAGAGGAAGTGGGACGAAGAAGTAATCTCAGAAGCTTTCATTTTCTTTATTAAATCTTCCCTATGGACTTAGAGTAGCTGGACCCAGTTTTTCAGGGTCAAGAGTCAGTAGCTTCTTGTACCCCCCAAACTGTCCGCTATGAAGATTGCACGATCTCTTGCGCATCGTGGCCAGCTGCAAATGAGATTTGTTCCCGAAGCTCATGAGAATCTCAACATTTTTTGGAGAATGAGGTGGCATGCTTTCGACTTTCTTGATACAACTCGCGAGCATTTCTGGGTAGGGCCTTTGCTTCTGCCTTTAAATGATTTTTCAAGTTGAAAGATCTCTGCCAGAGAGCCCCTTCATATGGAGGAGAAGGTTTTGGTGGCAAAAATGGTCTAGATCTAAATAGCTGTTGTCAAACTCAACAACAGAAAGGTAACCATATTCTAAGTAGCTTGTTTTATTTTATTTTAAGTTTATTTATTTTGAGAGAGCGCGAGCTTGGGTGGGAAAGGGGCAGAGGGAGGGAGGGAGGGGGAGAGAGAGAGAGAAAGAGAAAGAGAAAGAGAATCTTTAGTAGGCTGCATGTTCAGCGCAGAGCCAGATGCAGGGCTCAATCCCAGGATTCTGGGATCATGACCTGAGCCAAAGTCAAGAATCTGTTGCTCAACCTATTCAGCCACCCAGGCGCTTTATTTTTAAAAGACCATTTTTCTCCACAAACTTTCTTTTCATTTATTTTGCAAGAAATGAGGAAATAACATAAAATTAAATTAAGGACATATACAGTTTGACAGTTTACTAAAAAAAAAAAAAAAAAAAAAAAAAAAAAAAAAAAAAAAACAACTACACATTTTCAGTTCTATATGTAATGTGGTTCACTTTCAGTCCTGAAGCCCAAGCCAGGTGTTTGTATTTCTAACTGTGGGGTTTTTTTGTTTTGTTTTGACATTTTTGTGAACTTGTGTGTGTGTGTCAGCTTTAAGGAGAAGCTGGAGTATTGCTTATCATTTTTACTTACTGATCAAGAAAAAACAAATTTTTTGGTTTGTTTTTAACAGTAATATTTTGAAGCAGTTTGTGTAAGAGGCAGTATAACGTAGTGGTTACAGTTATGAGGGTCAGAGCCAGATGACCTGGTTTCAAATCCCAGGTCCACCAGTTGGTAGCTGTTTGACCTTAGACATGTTGCTTAAACTGTGCTTTAGTTTTCTCATCTATAAAATGACCATAATAGTGTCTGCTTCAAAATATTGTTGTGAGGATTAAATGAATTTAATATTATAAAGTGCTTGGAACAGTTCCTGATACATGGTAAGTACTACCTAAGTGTTAGCTGATTTATTATTATTATTATTATTATTATTAAAATATTTAGATTTGCCTAAGTTATAACAGTTACCCTTCAAGCAGTACAAACAGTGAAACAGATAGCTAAATCATACATAAGAAGGTATATAAGCCAGTAAGTATACTTAATTTCAACAGAGCAAACTTTGTTGATTTTTCCAGAAACTTTGACCTTGAAGATGGTGAGTAGCCAGCCAAAGTACGATCTAATACGGGAGGTAGGCCGAGGCAGTTACGGTGTTGTGTATGAAGCAGTCATCAGAAAGACCTCTGCACGGGTGGCAGTGAAGAAGATTCGATGCCATGCACCTGAAAATGTTGAATTAGCCCTGCGTGAGTTCTGGGCCCTAAGCAGTATCAAGAGCCAACATCCAAATGTGATTCACTTGGAGGAATGCATCTTACAAAAAGATGGGATGGTGCAAAAAATGTCCCATGGCTCTAATTCTTCCCTTTATTTACAGGTATGTGTGGTTGAATGGGAAATAGAAGTGACTTGAACATAGCATTGGTCAGCAAAAAGAGAAATAAAAGCGTCAGATAAACTTGTACTTTTAAATGCAGGTGTTTATATAGTTAGGAGTAGATAGGGGTCTGCCAAGAACTGAGTAGATGTTTGCTTTAAAACAAGGTTTTATTTAAACCTATGATGCAAATACCTAAAAATAACATAAGCCACCTGTTATGCCATGATACTTGCCAATCTGCATGGGAATGGGGCAATGTAGGAACTAGAGAAGTGATTGAGATCAGAGTCTAATAAATTCATTTATTTGAAATCAATCTTTTGGGGAACTGAAGACAGAAGAAATGAAAACTCCACAATCAATAGCAGTACCCATATAGATAATTGGGCATTTCTTTATAAATCAGTAGTTTGAACAAAAGCCTCTGCTGTTTTAGAGGGTTACGTGGTTTCTTAACCATGCAACTCCAGTTAATTTTCATGAGGTATGTGGCATAGCACTTGAATGTTATTAATAGTGCTAATCGCTAACGTTTGGGTTCCTACTCAGTTCTGTGCTCTGTGCTAAGTGCTTTAAAGGCAGTTGCTCAGAACAGTCTTGTGAAGGTGGTATTATTATTATCATCATTACAAATGAAGAAACTGAGGCTTAGAATAAATAATGAATTTATTAAAGTCGCCTATCTAGCAAGTGACAGAATTGGAAGCTGAATATAGGAGACTATCTGACTGCTAAAACTTGTGTTCCCTTAACTTCCAAATTACTCTTGCCTCCAAATTACTTTTTTTGTAGACCTGGAGAAAGCATTAACATAGGAAAACAGAAAAGATTTGCTAGATTTTATTAGGTTGGCTTCTGACATAGATCAAAATCTCTAGGAGGCCTATACTTGCTGCATAGAAAAGGTATTTAAAACATAGGTAGTTAAAGGCCAGACGAAAATTTCTTAAGTCTAGTCATTCTTGGAAAAAGAAATAACTTTCTATGAGTATGTCTAAATTCAGAATTTACCATCAGGGTACAGAAGTATGATTTTAAAATAACAAAAGCGGGGCGCCTGGGTGGCGCAGTCGGTTAAGCGTCCGACTTCAGCCAGGTCACGATCTCCCGGTCCGTGAGTTCGAGCCCCGCGTCGGGCTCTGGGCTGATGGCTCAGAGCCTGGAGCCTGTTTCCGATTCTGTGTCTCCCTCTCTCTGTGCCCCTCCCCCGTTCATGCTCTGTCTCTCTCTGTCCCAAAAATAAATAAACGTTGGAAAAAAAAAAAAATTTAAAATAACAAAAGCTTTTGGACTAGGAACAACAAGGAAGACAAACACATTAATCTGTGTAATTAGAAACCTGCAGGTTTCATCATATGGTAAACAAATATCAGTCTTGAGAACCTAATTTATATCGTAGTTTAGCATGCTCTGCCATGAAACCTCTTAAGGCAGTGACTATACAGCCCAACTATTTAGCCTCTATTTGATTTATTATTTACATTTCTAAAAGTGCTTATTATGTCCGTTGCACTGATAGGAAATATTAGAAACAGTCTCACCACATTCCCTCTTAAAAGTGAATAGGACCTTGCTGAACTTTGCATTGAATTTTGGAGACCAAGATATATAATCTCTCTTGGACTACAGATACAAAGACGTTTAAATAAATGACTTATTGCTGATGGTATCCTTGATCCAGATCAAGCAACCTTCATAGTAACTAGGCATTAGGTGGTCTTTCAAGGCTTTAAGATGTAAAGTACTTCCAGACTTGATTCAGTGATTTTTTTTTTTTTTTTTTAAATCTAAAGCACCTTTTTATTTGTACTCTTACATCTTTGAAAGCTTGGTAGACCTGTGTTCGACTTGTAGCACTTTTGCTAGCTGTATGACCTCGGCTAAATAGCTCATGTCTTCCTAGCATCTGTATCTTCAGACATAAAATAGAAATAATAATTTTTACCTTCCATGGGAGTTGTCAAAATTAGAGATGATGCAGGTATAATATTTGGCACATAGGAAGTACTCAATAGTAGGTCATTGTTAAAATTGTCTTTTCTATGGATTTATTTAGTTCACCAGACATTGATCAACACATTTAGCAAATACCTTCTCTAAATTTACATCTGATAAAAACAATTAAATCTATAATGTGACCACAGAGTCCCTATCCCTGGCTTTCTCCATTCTTTACACGGATTTTTGTTTTTCTCTGTGTTTTTCTAAGTATTTTCCTTGTTCTAAAAGATTAAACCAGTTCCTAATAGCTAAAAACCTTACCTAGAAGAAAATGTAAAACAAATAACAGAGGATGTAGTCTCACCGTAGGAACTTAGTGGCCAGTCTGTATAATTTATAATAAGTTTCGTGAATGAGAGGTACAGGATGATATAGGAGCATATGATAGAGAACCTGACATAATTCTGGGGTTCAGGAATTAATGAACTTTCAACTGAGGGATACCTGGGTGGTTCAGTTGGTTAAGCCTCCGACTTCAGCTCAGGTCTTATCTCATGGTTTGTGAGTTCGAGTCACACGTCAGGCTTTACACTGACAGTGTGGAGCCTGCTTGGAATTCTCTCTCTCTCCTTCTCTCTCTGCCCCTCCCCCACTGTCTCTCAAATATATATGCATACATACACACACACAGGAACTGTTTCAACTGAAACAGTGGAAACATGAAAGATAAAGAGGAGTTAGCCAGGTGAGTGAGTGAGAAAACTTCACAGCCAGAAAGAACTGTACGTACAAATATCTTAAAGCAAAAAGTACAAAACATTCTAAGAAGTGAAAGAAGATAATAAGGCTATACTGTACTGGGAGAGTTGTTTTAGATGAGACTGGAAATATCAGCAGGGTTAGAGGATCCCATAGGCCATGTTAAAGAGCTTAGATTGTATCCTAAGAGATCAGGGAAGCTATTGAAGGACTTGAGCCAAGAGAACCTATGGCTGATGACATCCTCTACACGTGGAAATAAGCAGATTGGGCACTGTACTTCTAGAGCTCTCAACCAGTGACCCTCAAACTATAGCCCTCAGCTAGTTTTTATATGGCCCAGATGCTAAAAATAGTTTTTACTTTTTTTTTTTAAGTTTGTTTATTCATTTTGAGAGATAGAAAGAATGTGAGCGGGGGAGGTGCAGAGAGCTAGGGAGACAGAATCCCAAGCAGGCTCCACCCTGCCAGCGCAGAGCCTCACGTGGGTCTCAGTCCCACGAACTGTGAGATCATGATCTGAGCTGAAATCAAGTCAGGCACTTAATGGACGGAGCCACCAGGCACACCTAATTTTTAGCGTTTTTGTTTTTTTTTTTTTAATGTTTATTTATTTTTGAAAGAAAGAGTGTGGGAGGAGGGGCAGAGTGAGAGGGGGACAAAGAAGCTCCTCGCTGTCAGCAGAGAGCCCAGAGAGCCTGGTGCAAGGCTTGAACTCACAAACCATGAGATCATGACCTGAGCCAAAGTCAGACACAACTGACTGAGCCACCCAGGTGCCCCCAGTTTTTACATTTTTAAAGAATTTTTAAGAAAAAGAAAAAAAATGAAAAAGAATATGAAACAGAGACCTTATGTGGCTTATCAAGCCTAAAATATTTACTTATCTGGCCTTATTCTAAACCATTCTTTGAATGGACTTTGACCATTACTTATCTGGCCTTATTCTAAACCATTCTTTGAATGGTTTAGGACTCTGCATTGCTCAAAGCTATTTAGGAAGTTTGATTTTGAGAGTAAAGACAGAAGAGAGGAAATGAAGGAGTGATGACGCTGGTCTTTAATCTCAGCATATTTAGTAATAGTGCACTTAGTAAATAATTGTGTGATTTGTACCTTTCTAGACTGTTCTGGCTCACTGGCAAACACATACAACAAAGAAAATGCATGCCAAAGACATCTGCAGACAGTTGCAATTACAGCTGTTTGCCATTGGGGGAGATGGCATGAAAAGGTGCTCTTTGCTTCTGCCCTCCAAAATGACAAGAGGACGTACTAGTGGACTTAAACGTAAAATTAGCAGTTCATTCATTCTTTTAATTTTTTTTTTAATATTTACTTATTTTTGAGAGAGAGACCGAATGCAAGTGGGTTAGGGGCAGAGAGAGAGGGAGACAGAATCTGAAGCAGGCTCCAGGCTCTGAGCTGTCAGCACAGAGCCCAACGCGGGGCTCGAACTCACAGGCCATGAGATCATGACCTGAGCCAAAGTCGGAGGCTCATCCGACTGAGCCACCCAGGTGCCCCCCCAGTTCATTCATTCTTTAACAACTCTTCATCTTCCCTACTGAGCTTCTATTCAGTGGGTTTGAAAAGGACACTATGGGACAAATGCTTTCAAAGCACTGTATCTATATTTTAGAATGACAATTCATATTCAGTGAAGTAATTAATATTCTTGAATTTAAGGTAATAGAGTTATAGTTAGATAATCATAACAAATGAAATAGCAATTTGTTCTAGGTTTTCAGCTTGTATAAAAGAAATCTACAAACTCAGATTTGAATTTTTATTTCAAAATGTAAATGTTTTTTTATAAATTGGTTTTAGAAGCCTCCAGTGATTGCCAATGTATTTGCGTTCTGCCTGTAGAAGTTTATGAAGCAATAATGTCAGTCTTTATTTTTATCAGTGGCTACAGGAAGGCTTTATTTCTGTAACAACTAGTGTTCCTTGATCATTTTTCTCTTAATATCACAGATTATTTGATAGTGTATGTCCAGTGAACAAGAAAGTTATTTCAGGCCATTTAATTGAATAGGAATTCCTAATGGATGTTTATATCCCAGCTGGCAGTCTCCCAGATCTGGCTGCTGAAACTTTGACTTTTTTTTTTTTAATGTTTATTTATTTCTGAGACAGAGCATGAGTGGGGTAGGGGCAGAGAGAGAGGGAGACACAGAATCTGATGCAGGCTCCAGGCTCTGAGCTGTCAGCACAGAGCCCGACACGGGGCTCAAACTCATGAACCATGAGATCGTGGCCAGAGCCAAAGTCAGTTGCTCAACCAACTGAGCCACCCAGGCACCCCAAAAACTTTGACTTTTTCATGAAGCTATTAGCTAGGTGGGTAGAGTTCAGCTCCATTAACACACACAGAAAATGTATAGCCAGTTGGACACTTTTCAAAATAAAGCTATTGATTGAGTGATTGATTGATTGTAAGTTCTATACCCAATGTGGGGCTTGAACTCATGACCCTGAGATAAGGAGTCCTATGTTCTACTAACTAAGCCAGCTAGGCACCCCTAAAGCTATTTAATTTTTAAAAAAAATTTTTTTTAATGTTTATTTTTTTGAGAGAGAGCATGAGCAGGGAAGGGGCAGAGAGAGAGGGAGACACAGAATCTGGAAGCAGGCTCCAGGCTCTGAGCTGTCAGAACAGGGTCTGATGCAGAGCTCCAACTCACCCACCATGAGATCATGACCTGAGCCGAAGTCAGATGCTTAACCGACTGAGCCACCCAGGCACCCCAAGCCATTTTATTTTTAAATAAATTTTTATGTCTTGACTTAGAGATTTGGTGGTATTCATTAGGAGCAAAATGACAGTTTGAAGTACTGAAGTTTAAAATAAAATGCACATATAAAAGCACTGACCAAATAAAACATTCATGGAATTTCCACTTAAAATTGGGAGTCTCACTTAACCAGTCACTTATTTTCTATAGCTGAATTTTAATTTTTTTAATGTTTTTTATTTATTTTTGAGAGAGAGCGTGAGCAGGGAGAACAGAGGGAGAGGGGACACAGAATCCAAAGCAGGCTCCAGGCTCTGAGTTGTCAGCAAAGAGCCCGACGCAGGGCCCGAACCCACAAACTGTGAGATCATGACCTGAGTTGAAGTTGGACCCTTAACCGACTGAGCCACCCAGGTGCCCCTATAGCTGAATTTTATAAACTGTGCAGATGATTGTAATCCATTTATTTTTTCCCTCTTATAGCTTGTAGAGACTTCATTAAAAGGAGAAATTGCCTTTGATCCCAGAAGCGCCTATTACTTGTGGTTTGTGATGGATTTTTGCGACGGCGGAGATATGAATGAGTATCTGTTGTCCAGGAAACCCAATCGTAAAACTAACACCAGCTTTATGCTTCAGCTGAGCAGTGCTCTGGCTTTCTTGCATAAAAACCAGATCATCCACCGAGATCTTAAGCCTGATAACATCCTGATTTCTCAAAGCAGGTTGGATACCAGTGACTTGGAACCCACACTGAAAGTGGCCGATTTTGGTCTCAGTAAAGTTTGTTCAGCCTCTGGGCAGAACCCAGAAGAACCTGTCAGTGTAAACAAGTGTTTCCTTTCCACAGCGTGTGGAACAGATTTCTACATGGCACCTGAAGTGTGGGAGGGACATTACACAGCAAAAGCTGACATCTTTGCTTTGGGGATTATCATCTGGGCAATGCTGGAAAGGATCACATTCATAGACACAGAGACAAAGAAGGAACTCTTAGGGAGTTATGTAAAACAAGGAACTGAGATTGTGCCCGTTGGAGAGGCGCTTCTGGAAAATCCCAAAATGGAACTTCTCATTCCTGTGAAGAAAAAGTCTATGAATGGGCGAATGAAACAACTGATTAAGGAAATGCTGGCTGCAAACCCTCAGGATCGCCCAGATGCTTTTGAACTAGAACTCAGATTAGTACAAATTGCATTTAAAGATAGCAGCTGGGAAACGTGACACATACATTGTTTGCAAATATCTCGGATGGTATGCTGCTTATGTTTTCACAGTGATGCAACAACATAATGTGGCTGAAAAAGAATATAAAAAGCTAAACTCCACCTTCTAAGGGTTTAGATTTTATTGTGGGGTGTTTTTTTTCATTTTTCTTAAGTCCAAGCTGGCCATTTTGTTAGTATGTTTTAAGTGTGTATTACCAATGTGGGTGTACATTTTTTAAAATGATCATTGGAAGTTTGGCAGGAAGATTCTCTAAGAGCCAAGAGGAGAAGAAAGTCCAGTTTTCTGGAAATAAGTCTCTAAGTATTTTAGACATTCCTTGTCAGTATTAGGAATTTCCATGGAAGAAGAGGTTTGCATGCTGGTAATGCAACCTTTGAAGCTTTGTAAAGGAAACATATATGTATATATTTATGTATATGTAAGTATGTGAATGTGTGCATTTTGCATTCCATATGAAGAAAATGCCACTTCTGTTTAAATTATTTGATGTAGGTTTGGGTTTTTGAGATTTGCTGGTGAAATCAGTGATGAAAAATAAAAGAACCTTCCCTCATCTTCCTACCCTGTCCTTCCCTCTAATGAAATCATACCACATTTTTTATTTTTGTAATATTATACAGCTTTTTTTTAAGGCATCATTTTGGAGGGTCTAAAATTATCTAACTAAACATAAAATTAAGTGATCCAAAGCTGCTGAAGTATGTTTGAGCTCTCCAGTGCCCTATAGCTGCAGGAGTTGAATTAGCCATGCAATCATGTGGTAGCAGGTTGGCAAGGACCTTGATTCAATCACCTTCTTTAAGTAACCAAGCATTCAATTAACCAATTAAACCACTGCACTGGAACATGTCTGCACTTGAGCATCTGCAATCTGATATAAATCTGAACACAGGATTCCTCTGTTTCTGAAAACTTTGCTATATATGAACTGCCCTACTTGATATATTAATTTTTGATTTCAAGACTTTGTCTAAGCCTCAGCATAAAGTTGAAGAAATCAAAAGAAATCTACCCTCACATCGCCTGCCCTGATATGGTCTCTTGTGTAATCACTGGAATTCCTTTCATTTTAGCACTAATGCTATTTTCTCTTGTCTAATTTGACACCGTAATGATAGTGATATGGTTGTGTTAAATGTTGATCACCTTTTTCTAAAGTGGGAGATGATACCTATACAGTGTGACAAATGGATAAAATATTGTGGCATCAATTACATCTTTCAAGTAGAAACATTATTGATTTTATACAATCACACTTGGTATGGTCTATGTAAAAAACCAATAGACTGTTACTCTTCTTGAAGTTAGTTTGATTTTTAACCCTGTATGGTTGTCTCCAGTTTGTTTTCCTATATACATGCAGATAATTAAAATCTAAGGAAAGTTTTCCTAAAACAGAATATTAGCCTTTAAGGTTAGATAGACTTTAAGACCATTGTATCTAGGTTAGTCTTTATAAAGCACTAGAATCTTTGGTCAAAAGTAAAAAAAAAAAAAAAAAAAAAAAAAAAAAAAAAAAAAGTATTAGAATACTGAAATTGTTAATAGTTTGCATAGTCTCCTCGCTTTTTTTTTCTTGAGTTTTTTTTTTTAATTGAAGCATAGTTGGCACCCAATGGGTCTCCTCAGTTTTTTTGAACTTCTACAACTTTTGGAATTTTGCTAACATAATTTTTTCCTTAAAGTGTATTTGGGGACTAGAGAAGGTGAAAAAGCACAAAAAATTAGAGTATGTAAAATTTCTGAACTATGTGTTACTTGATCTGGAAGTTTGAAATTTGGACTGAAAGGCTTTATTGAACTAAAGCCTTTTATTATTTTTTTTAATAAACCTTTTAAAATAAAAAAATCATATACTTTTAACATCACTTTCAAGCCAATAAATACAAGAAGCTTTTTGGAAATTAGAGGTGGAAATACACTGGAACCTCATGACCATTGACCCTTTGGATCACCAAATTACTGTAACACAGATCTGGCCAAGGGGATTGAGTTATTGGAAGTGAAAAGTATTCTAGTGTCACACCAGTAAGGTGGCACTTCAGCAGAGATTCATGATGATTCAGGTGATAGCATGCCGGTGCTTCATTTGCTCTTCAAATATCTATGTGCTTAGAGTCATGGTTCCCTAAGTACATAGTTTTGGTCTTGCTTCATTTAAAATAGCTAACAATTACCTATTTTGAAAGATTTCACCTGTGAAGTGGAAATCTTTCTTTCATTGGCAGCAAAGGTATGAGGTGATCAGGAGGTTTCTTCTGGAATTTTCTCAGTCCTTGTATTCTAAAATAGCCTATGATACCAAGCAAAATGATAGTAAATTCTTTGTCTCTATTTGTTCTTTTGGTCAGGAGGTATTTATTAAGTACCTACTGTGAGCTCAGCACTAAAGGTCAGTTGATAAAATGACAGTTTAAAAATGGTATATAACCCTACAAGCCTTTTCCAGCCAGGAGTAAGAAATAAAAGGTTAGCGATACTTGGAAATTCCTGGATATTTGCTAGAGGAAAAACGAAAGCGAGAATTTGTGCACAGTGCCTTGCCCATAATAGGTACTCAATAAACAATTATTATTCCTCAGAGTCTCTTGCCATGGTTTATAGTGTTTTATGAAATTTGTCTTAATTGAAAAAAGACCAAATATTTCAAATAAGCTCATAGGCAGCTGTGGCCAGTTAAAATATGGGGTTGTACAGTTAGTTCCTAGAATGTTATTTTGCACTAGATGTCACTTAGAAAGATGGGGTTCCTGTAGATTTTTGGTGCTAAGGGATACTTTGTCATTATGATGAAGTAAGTGTTAAGTGTCAGATAAATAGCACACTGAATAGTTCTTTCTGCTGGTCTGTTTTTTCCTCTTTGTTGTTGTTGTTGTTTTTAATTGTAAAATGTTTATCAATCAAACTATTGTAGCAGCTACAAAATAATTCACCAGCATGACAAAATGGTCAAAAAATAAGTCATCAGCACTTCAAAAATGAAAGCAACTTTTGAAATTTTCTTTTAAAATTGTCAAATATATTTTATGAAGAATTTATAAAAGGGGGAAATGATTGTAATTTATTGTTCATGACTGTTTTTTTTTAAATAAAGTGAGTTTCAACAACAAAAAAAAAACCTGAAATTCTATATTGCTGATTTGGTGGCTCTGTATAGTTCTGTAGTGCTTTACCTCATGAACATAAAATAGAGGGTATAAAATTTGAAACAATGTCATTTTCAGCCTTATCTATTAAGTGAAACTTTCTGTAATAGAAGCTATTACTGAGGAAAAGATGATTGGATTATAGGAATTTCAGCATTTCAAGTTCTCTAAAATTTTAATGCTTACTCTCTTGCTGTATTTGTCAGAAGAACTTATATTGCCTGAAATAAATGTTTTTTTTTTCCATTAATCTTTCTATCTCCTTAAGCTGAGGATGCATCCCAGACTCAGAATGAAGCACAGTAAATGTACCAAGAGGAAGTCATTTTTCAATCCATAACTTGAAACCATGGTTTCCTTTCTGTAAAGTCATCTGGCCCGCTTTTTTTCTTTTATAGGTTTTATTGTGTATGTCTTCTCCAGAATAAACAAAGTACTGAGGATACAGTGCACTTAGTGGCCCAATAGACCAGCAGAGGGAAAAACTGGAGGCAGAAAACATTAACGCTACATGTGATCCAGCGGCAAGTAGGAACTTAGGCATCAGGACTTGTGGCTGCTTCTGACTCTGCCACCTTCTCCTGGCATAACCTTTGTACACAGGCAAATTTTGCTTTCTGTTTTGAGACTAATTTTTTAATTAAATCTTAAGCTATAAATATTTGTATTTACTAGCTTGTTTGTAATCCCTTGCAGTTTACAAAGAGCTTTCACGTGGTTTTTAACATATCTTTGCAGTGGGTTTTACTTAAAATAGGGGCTGGTTTCTTGATGAAGAAATTAATAGTAGTACACCAGTTAGTGAGGTAATGGTAAGGGTTTTAATGCCTAATCTCAGACTCCAGCTGGAGTTTTCTCTAATAACAAAGCTTTATCTTTCCCACTGAAAATGACCCCTGGTTGTTTTGGTCTTTAAATTTAAATGTTGCTCTCTTAGCCAACCAATCATAGATGTCCTCTAAAATGCAGTGTAATGATAGACAGTTGGTTTGTGGTTAGATAACAACTTGAGAAAACCTACCACACCTCTTGAGGGCACAGTGCTGTCTGGCGTCTTTTAAAGGCGGTACTTTCTCTTTTGTAATGATTTCTCATTGGTTAGAAGAGAATTGTAAAAAAAAAAAA